CCCTGGAATTCCCTTTTCGGAACTTTTTTTTTTTTTTTTGGTGTTTTTGAGACAAGGTCTCCCTGTAGCTGCAGCTGGCCTGGATTCGCTAATAGAGAACAGGCTTGCCTCAAATTCATAGAGATCCACCTGCCTCTGCCTCCCAAGTGCTGGGATTAAAGGCGTGCGCCACCACACCCATCTTCTAAGGAACTCTTGAAAATGACTCAGCCAGATGGGGTCTTGTCTGTGCTTGGCCTGGCTCCCATATCTGCAACAGAATCTACAGGCACACCAGAAAATACAGATCCACCAAACAAAGACAAGGAAAACAAAGGCAGAACACCCCAGTAGACAAGGGACACCAAACAGGCCCAAACACAGACATTCAGTGGCCACCTTCATGCATAAGTTCACTCATTCACCAAAATCCTAACAGGACAGAGACATCTCCTGCTGTCACTGTCCTGGGAGATTGTTAACAATCATATCAGATTTCCTAAGTCTCCCTAGATGTCCTAACTCACTGATCAGTTCTGCCCTAAGTGCACGATCAGCTAGTGGTTCAACTTCCGTTCAAATTTGCTGTGATTGCAATCTCAGGATCCTGAGGGCCTATGAGTCTGCAGTCAGATTCTTCCCCTTACTGGGCCTATCCTGGATTGGTGAACTTTTAATTTGGTGCCCAAGGACCTGGCTTATTTCATGTAGTATAATATCGGCCAAGCTCATCTGTGCAAATGGTACAAGTTCCTTCTTTGCTATGTCTGCATGCAAAATCACATCCCACCATGGTTATTAAATTTCCCTTATCCATCATTCACTGAGGGACTCCTATATTGATTCTACTAACTATTGTGAATAATGAAGCAAATGGAGGGGGGGTAGGTATCTCTTCAACATACTGCTTTCTTTTCCTTTGGATAGAAACCCAGTGCTAGATCACACAGTTCTACTTTTTACTATTTTTGAGGAATGTGTGTACTGTCTTCCAAAATGACTGTAGAGCTTTTTTTTTTCCTTTCAAATAAATCTCTTGAGTGTTTATGCACACATTCTATTGGTTCTGCTTCTCTCAAGAATCCTAATATACTCTTCTATACTGTGAATCTGATTTTATTTACAGCAGTTCTACTTTGCCTGGAGGAGTGTGGCGGTTTGAATGAAAATGTCCCCCATAGCCTCCAAGTATTTGGACATTTTGTCCCCAGATGATGGTGCTGTTTTGGAAGGTCTTAGAAGGTGTGGCTGTCTGGGAGGAAGCACGTCACTGGGGGTGAGCTTAAAGAATTCTTAAGCCTTGCGGGTGGATCTCCAGTCACTCTCTTGCTTCCTGTGCCTGTGTGATGTGAGAGCTTAGCTTCTGCTGCTCCTGCTCCAGCCACCTCCAGCCACCATGTCTCCCTGCCATGACGGAATGTAATTCCCCTGGAACTGTGAGCTCAAATAAATTCTTCCTTCTATAAGTTGCTTTGGTCAGTGTTTCTCTCACAGCAACAGAAAAGTAATGAATACAGTAATTGGTATCAGAGAGTGGACTGCTGGCTGTGAAGAACCTGACCATGTGGGGTTTTGGAGGATTGTGGAAAGCTTTGGAAACTTGGACTAGAAAAGAAGTTGATTGCTGTAAGCAGAGCTTAACAGGCCATTCTAGTAGGGGCCTGGAAGAAAGCAGTGCTGAGAACAATGTAGTTCCAGAGAGAAATAAGGACTTAAGCAGCACTTGGGATATTTTGGCAGAGAATCTGGCTGGAGTCCAAGAAGCTTGCCTGAGGCTAAGTTGAAAAGCAATGGACTAATTTCTCTGGCAGAAGAAATTGCTAGACAGCATAAGATAGAAATGGTGGTGTGGCTATTAATGGTGAATATTACATAGATTTACAGTGAAAAAGGAGTTACTTTTGCTTTGTCCATGTGTTCTTTTGTCTGATACTGATGGGGTCCTTGGACCTTGGATTTTATTTCTAACAGTGATCCAGGCTGGCCTCTACCTCCTGAGTGCTAAGATTACAGGCATGTGCCACAAAACACTTACTCTGTATATTTTCTTCTTTCTCAAAGTTAATATTGTACACGGATACTGAGTTTGGGTCAGAAAAATGTTACAAGAAAAAAGGCAAAACAAATAACAAACAACAATAAAAAACAGGAAAGAAAAAAGAAATCGGAACTAGCATGTGAATTTTGTAGAGACTTCCTAGTGAAAAGGCAAAGCAGCTGTGTATGGACTGCTTTCACTCAGCATTTCAGACTTTGTTGGGGGGCTTAAAAGGGATGACACTGGACAGATGATCAGGAGGCACCCACACATACAGTTGGGAAGCAGGGAGTTCCTAGAGGATGTCTTTTTTATTGACAAACCCAGAACATCTGTGGCAGCAGAGTAGATAGGAGAAAGGCAGAGCTGGAGCAACTATCTTCTGATGCTCACGTTCGGTAGCTGCGAACCTGGCTCCTTCTGAAACTTCAATTTTGTATTTTCATACGAAGGGATTTCTACATTGAAACACTTTCACTCACATCACCCTCATTTATTGTTTTTGGAGACTTAGCTTAGGTTAAATGACAAAAACAAAAACAGAACCCTGACTGACTAAAAGAAGCTGTGAGTCCATTCAAGAATGGCTAATTATGCATTCTCTTCTTTGAACATCTTACTTAAGTGCTTTACTAAAGCCACCAGTGCAGGGTTCCCACCACAGGCCTCGATTTGTTTGTAGGCTTTAGCTTCAAGCTCTCTAAGTGTGCACCGAGTGTATTCAAAAGAACCTACATCCTCAAGATATTGCATACAGTATTTTTTAATATCTGTGTTTTCTGTTCTCTGGCGTAAGATGTTCTGTACTTGTGTGCTTTCTGGCCTTGACCAAATGGCATGAATAGTAGGGAATGAGAACTTTCCTTCAGTCAGGTCTTCACAAAAACTTTTGTTTTCACTGTATTCTTTGGAGTGTAGATTGGCATAATCATCTCTAATCTGGAAAAAGAGCCCAAGTGTGTTAAGCAGTGGCTTTAAATCATCTTTGTAATCAGAGAACAACTGCATGAGGCCTACTGCCAGTCCGAATAAACCACCTGTCTTCTGCAGTACCATGGCTTTATACTCTTCTTCAGTGGGACAAGTGTAAGTGTCCCTCCAGTAAATGTCCAGGCCTTGTCCCTCATGGAGCTCCAGAAGCTGGCGGGTAAAAAGCTTCACGGCATCTGGGTGATCAAGGGTTAAGACTTTCTCTAAGCCAAGGAAATAGACGTAATTGGCAGAATTGATGACAGACGGAATTCCGTAGATGCTGTGTGCCACTGGAAAGCCACGTCGGAGCTTGGAGCTGTCTTCGATGTCATCGATGAGTAAGCTGGCATTATGCAGCATTTCAGTCACTTCAATGATGATCTAAGAGATAAACAAGAAAAAGACAATTCAGCACATTTGAAGGCTTTAAAACAACACAAGCATACAGAGTTGTTTGGTTTTAGAGACAGACTCTCCCTATGTATCCAGGGCTGGCCTTGATTTTAAGACCCTTCTGCTTCAGTTTCTTAAGTGCATGATTCCAGGCATGTACCACCATGATTGGCCAACACAGTTTGTACTTAATGTTAATAAAACTACTTTAAATCTTGGTTGTCTAAGTTTTCACAACTCTACTTAGCAGCCTCAATATGGATATTGCATGCACATTAACAAAATAAGAACCTGGGAGCACTTCTATGTAGGGCTACTAATTTCTTGGGGATTAAGTGGGGATAACGAATGAGGTTAGAGTTGCCTAAGGGCCTGGGATGTGCTGCAGTGGCCAAGCCCTTGCCTAGCACTCTCCAAGTCCTGGATTTGATCCCAGTAGTATAAAAACAGACCCACTGACTGCCACAATACCTGTAGTTTATCTTCTGGAACTTTCAGCCAATGATTAAATGCCTGAGAAAGTTTGGTTCTCACCTGTTTACCTGCAATTAAAAAGCAGAACATGACAATAAAATATGATTTTATTTAAAATAATGTTTTAGACATTTCTGTGTGAATGTACCTATGCACTCCAGGGAGCACTTGTGGAGCTCAGAAGACAACTTGGAGGAATTAGTTCTCACCTTCCACTATGTGGGTCCTGGGGATCTAGGGATTGAACTCAGGTCATCAGGCTTAGTAGCAAGCACCTTTACCTGCTAAGCCACCTTGTCCCAAAACAATGATCTTTCTCTTCATCTTTTTTTGTGTGTGTGTTTTTTGAGTCAGGGTCTCCCTGTAGCCTCAGCTGACCTGTAACTCACTCTGTAGACCAGTATGGCCTTGAGCTCATAGAGCTCCATCTGCCTCTGCCTCCTGAGTGCTGGGATTAAAGGTGTCCATCCCCACACCTGGCAACAATTAATTACAAGAAAAAGTCAGAAATTTCCTTCAAAATTAATCAGACTTGTTAAATCCAATCCCATCAATCTACTGTAGAGATTTCCTTCCATAGTTGAACACTCAACTTTCACTCTTCAAATCTACATCCCAAAGGGCACACAGTGGGGCTGGAGAGATGGCTCAGCACTTAAGAACACTTGATACTGTTCATAGGGCCCCAGTTTGGCTCCCAGCACCCATGTCAGGCAGCTCACCATGGCCTTTAACTCCAGCTTCAGCAGATCTGATGCCTTCATCCGGCTTCCTTTGGGCATCTGCACTCAACATGTACACCCCCGCAGAGATACAGGCATAATTAGAAATAAAAATAAAATCTAAAAGGTACAGGTTTTTGTTTTTGTTTTTCTTATTGAGACAGGGTCTCCCTGTAGCCCCAGGTGACCTGGAACTCACTGTGTAGACCAGATGAGCCTTGACCTCATAGAGATCTGCCTGCCTCTGCCTCCTAAGTGCTGGGATTAAAAGCATGCCCTATCATACCTGGCTGGCACAGCTTTTCAAAATGAGGGCAGGCAAGAGAGTCTAAAGTACTTCAGTGGGTTATAGTTTTAATTTGTATCATTTGGGAAATGAAATGGACATTTATAGAAAATATATCCATATTTTTCATAAAACCATATAATTTACTCCTTCTTCTGAAAAGTCAGTCTGTTTGGGGACAATTAACTAGCATTGTTATATAAAACTCCAAATATTTTACCACTGAATTACCTCATAAAAGTATCTCTTAAAATGATCTGCAAAAACCAGGCACAGCGGTTTTAGTCCTTCATGCCTTTAACCTCAGCACTCACGATGCAGATGCCAGACTAGTCTATATATTGAGTTCCAGGGAGGCTAAGGCTATAGGGAGAACCTGTCTCAACAAAAGAAAACAAAACACTTGCCACTTCTTTAAACTAAGGTTTAAACTGTAAGTTTAAAAAAAGCTAATCTCTTTGTTTTACCTAGGGCCATTACTTTTTAAATATTTTCTTTTTTCACATGGGAAGCTCAAAGAAAGGTATTTGGGTCTAGTTACCACTAGAAAAATCATGTTAGCAGAAACATAACAGTAATGGTAAATAAAAACCATGACCAGTTCATTTAGCAAAGGTGTCCTATGAGCCTTCTGCTAAATGAATGCACAGTAATAGCCTCAATTCAGAAAAGGCCTCGGGAAATGGTTATATAAAAAATTAAGCTTCATGGAGCTGGAGAGATGGCTTAGTGGTTAAGAGCATGTACTGCTCTTGTAGAGGACCTGAGTTGAGTTCCCAGCACCCATGTAGGGTGGCTCACAACTGCCTATAACTCCAACTATGGCCTCCACGGTGATCTGCACTCAGGTGCCCATACACACACTCATAATTAAAAATAATAAAAAAATTATGTGGGTGTGGTGGCATGGCTTTAATCCCAGCACTCAGGATGCAGAGATAGGCAGATCTCTGGGGGTTTGAGGCCAGCCTGGTCTATGTAGCAAGGTCCAGGCCAGCCAGGGATACATAGTGAGACCTTGTCTCAAAGAAACAAAACAGAACAAAACAAAATAGCCACTATTCTTACTTATTTTTGCATTGTGGGTGATCAAATCAAGGACCCTGTACATGCTAGGCAAGTACTCTGCCAGCAAGCTACATTATTCTCTAACCCCCAAACACTATTTTCTAAGTTCTACCTGTATATTCTTTACAGCGATCATCCACAGAAAAAGAAAGAAAGAAGCAACTCACATCACATATCCAAAAAGGGCAAAGCTGTACTTTCTATGAAAAGTCAAGAAAGGCACATCTTAGGGTTCTCTCCCCATGATACACACGATCTGGGTAGTCACACAGTCTGTACCGCTTACTTCCCAGCTGAACAAAAGTCAATCTGGGCTATAGCTTCAGTGCACAAAGTAATCACATTTAAAAATAATTCCTTTTTTTCTCTTTGGTCTTTTTGAGACAGGTCTCCCTATAGCCCCAGCTGGCTTTTGAAGTCACTATGTAGGCCAGGCTGCCCTTGAACTCACAGAGATCCACTTGCCTCTGTCTCCCAAGTGCTGGGACTAAAGGCGTGTCACCACATCCAGCATTTAAAAATAATTCTTAAACGTAAATACTTAGGATGCTGGAGAGATGTCTCAGTGCTTATTAAGAGCACTGACTGCTCTTGCAGAGGACCCAGGTTTGTTTCACAGCACCCACATGGTTGGTACAAACCGTTCTTATCTCCAGTTCCAGGGGAATCTGATGCCCTCTCCTGACCTCCGAGGCATTGCAGGACACAGGTGCACTCACATACATGTAGGCAATACACTCATACACATAAAACAAAAATAAATTTAAAAAAATAAAACATTAAAAAAGTAAATAGTTTTACAGCTAAAAAACAGAATTAATGAGAAACTCTGATTTCCATTTCACGTTAAAAAATTTTTTGCTTTATTTTTTATGTGTATGAGTGCACTGCCCATATGTATGTGCACCTGTGTCATGCAATGTCCATGGAGGTCAGGTGATGGTGTCGGATCCCTTGAGCTGAAATTTAGGATGATTGTGAGCCATGATATGGGTGTTGGGCACCAAAACTGGGTCCTCTGCAAGAGCAGCCAGTGCTCTTAACTGTTGAGCCATTTTTTTTCCACTCCAACTTTCTCTTTATTATTATTATTATTTTTATTTTATGTGTATGTGTGTATTGCCTGCATAGGTAAGTGCACCCATGTCGTGCAATGCCCACAGAGCTCAGAAGAGGCTGTCAGATCCCCTGGGACTGGAGTTACATACAGTTGTTAGCTTCCAGGTGGGTGCTGGGATTCAAACCCGGGTCTTCTGCAAGAACATCCAGTGTTCTTAACCACTAAGCAATCTCTCCAGCCCCCCAGCCCAACTTCTGTTGTTCTTTGAGACACTGTGTGGGTCTAGGCTGACCATGAATTGGAGAAACTCCGTCCTTAGCCTCCCAAGTGCTGGGATCACAGTTGTGTACCACCACACCCTGCTTCATTTTACTTTCCTAATCAAAAAAAAATTTACTATTATTGTGTATATGATATGTGCATGTGTGGGCACACTTGGAGAGGTCAGAGGACAACTCTATGGAGCTGGTTCTCTTTCACCTTATATGGCTTAGGGGGATTGACCTTGGGGGGCCAGGCATACACAGCAGGTGCCTTTTCCCACTGAGTCATCTCCAGGTCCTCACTCCTGAACATGATATAGACAACAGTATGATGACTGCTTCATCTACAAATACTGAAGGTCTGGGGTTTCGGGATCTTGAAGTTTTGGGAGACGGAACCTAGCATCTTGTGCATGCTAAGTACTAAGATAAACCTCCGACTCCTGATCTTTCTACTTCTACCTCCTGATTGCTGGGATTACAGGCACGCACCAAATGAGGTTTATACAGTATTGGGGACTGATCCCAGGACTTCGTACATGCTACTTAAGAACTCTACCAACTGAGCTTAGTTTTAGTCTCCCCCCCTACCGCAAGCTTTGTTCTTTTATTTTTTCAGTCTTTTTGAGACAAGGTCTACCTGTAGCCCCGCTGGTCTGAACTGGCTATGCAGACTAGGCTCGCCTTGAACTTATAGAGATCTGCCTGCCTCTGCCTCCTGAGTACAGGGATTAAAGGCATGCATGAGTTGCCCTAAGCACTTACTAGGTACCATAGAAATCCTCCATTTGATTTTGTTGTTTGTTTTGAGACAGGGTCTCTCCCTGTAGCCCCAGCTGTCCTGGAACTCACTATGTAAACAAGGCTGGCCGTGAACTCAGAGATCCACCTGCCTCTGCCTCCCGAGTGCTGATATGAAAGGCGTGCGCCACCACACCTGGCAGAACTTGCTTCTTTACAAGGTTGTCCTTGAACTACTACTAATCTTCCCATTTCCACCTCCCAAGTGCTGGGATTACAGGTGTGCCCAAGATGACAGGTTCTATAGTTTCAATACTTTTTCCCCTTCTGATCAGATCCTAGGGTCTGGCCTGATACTTTTAAAGTTTCCAATTTATTCCTAACTTTGATGCTAAGCAGAAATCTTTTGAAATTAAAAGGTACACTACTGCTTTCTTTCAAAAACTTTCACACTACTGAAGTTCCGCAGCCTCTACGCTGTAGCCCTAACCTTGGCCTCCACTTTCCACTACAACAGTCTGGTACACCTGGTACATCTACATCAGATACACCTGGGTTAACAGAACAGTATTCTCCTTCACAGATTTTAGAAAATACTGACACCATCATCATCATCACCACCATCTTTTAAGTGTAACACTAATATTATAGTATAAGCCATCCTATCTTTAAATTCCTTTAACAACTCTGTTGAGGTCATAGTCTATCATGGATCAAAAATATATTTGATAAGAAAAGCTCACATCAAGGCCATCTTTTGGCTATATAGTGAGTTTGAGGGCAGCCTTAACTACACAAGACCCTGTCTAAAAACCAAACCAAAGCAAACCAAAACGAAAGCTGTACAGAAGAAATTCATTACTCAGGTCAACATTGTAGGCAGCCCTTGCTTTGCATAGTAGGAGACACTTGTTAGATTTGTCAGCAC